ATATTGTAAAGCAATTATCCCCCAATTAAAAATAAATTGTGCCACAGAAGGTTAAAAATAAAAAACAAGGGGGCCCTGCCCTGATCTCTCAGGTGCTGCCCTCTTGTGGCCGCCTGAATACTTGCAACTAAAACTTGCTCTGAATTCTGCACAACTATTTCTTTAAATCAAAGGAGGCTGCCGGAGCCCAGGAGTGGACTTTTCCCCCCAAGAGGAAAGATGATGAAAGTCTGCCATGACATGGGTCCACAGGGCTGAAGCTGCTGGTCTGGTGGTTGTTTCATAATGTTTTGTGAGCAGAGGAAATAAGAGATCATCAAGGCAGGTAATAGCTATCTTTCTGGACTTAAGAGAAAATTTGGAAAGAAAGAAAACATGTTTACATATATGAATATATATATCTGTTGTATCATGTATATACATATATATGATTATATATGTATACTGCTGTATGTATGTGATTATATACATGTGTCTTACCATGTCCTTCATTTTTGCAAATTATGAATTCCTGCTTGGTAGGGGTTGTGTTAGGCTTTATCACAGAGATCCTCTATTAGGCAGGATATATTTGTCTCGATAGTAAAGAATCCTCCTTCTATGTGGGAGACCTGGGTTCAGTCTCTGGGTTGGGAAGATCCCCTGAAGGAGGGCACGGCAACCCACTACAGTATTCTTGCCTGGAGAATCCCATGGACAGAGGAGCCTGGTGGGCTACAGTCCATGGGGTCACAGAGAGTAGGACACGACTGAGTGACTAAGCACATTTATGACCAGAGTTGTTTTTGGCTTTAATTTGCATATTATTTTGGAGCAGTGATTCTCAAAATATGATCCTGGTGTGCCCACCTGCCCCCCACAACCTGGAGTCCCTAATAGCCTTCCAGGGGATCCACAAAGTCAAAACTTTTTGCATAATAATGCTAGTTCATTATTTCCTTTTTCATCCCCCCATTCCCTCATGAGTATACACTGGAATTTTCCAGAATCTACACTGTGTGATATTGCAACTGAACGCAGTAGAAGCAGATAACATAAGAAGCACATGTATCTTCTGTTAAACTGGAAATTACAGAGATTTGTAAAACTGTGACATTCTCATTAATTCTGGCATTCTCATTAATTCTGGTCTTGAAAATATAGGTATCTTTTCATAAAGACATGTTAGCCTGCAATAAATTTATTGCTGTATTAAATCAATACTATTTCTTTTCAGTCTCAGTAGGTGTAACCCTCACAATAAACAAAGGCTCCATGGGTCCCAAATAATTCTGAAGGTGTTAAGAGATCATGAGATCAAAAGTTTAAGCATCACTGATACGGAGGAGCCATGGGACTGCGGGGTTATTCTCAAAGCTCAGTGTAGACATGTGTCCTGGGCACTGATTTGATATTCGAGGAGAGATCTGGAAGGCAGAGGTGAGACAAACACAGACATTCTGCTGGGAGGCTTCCCTGGTGGTTGAGGGCTGGGATTGCCAGTGCAGGCGGCCTGGGTTCCGGGTTCTGGGCGGGGAACCGGGGCCCACGGCAAAGACCGAAGCTCCCACGTGCCGCCACTAAGAGCCAGCACGCCAAACACATTAACGCCTCTTTAAAATCCCACTGCTCCTCTTGTGTGCGCTGGGACATCTCGTGGACCTGCTTGGCTCTCCAGGGCAGCTCCCCGGCTGTGGCTGTTCACAGGTGCTGCCCTGGGACCAGAGGACTAAGGACAGGCTGATCCTGAAACCAGGCAGAGGACCGATTCGGTGCGACGGCCCCACGCAGGACGCGGAGGACCGACTCGGTGCGACGGCCCCACGCGGGACGCGGAGGACCGACTCGGTGCGACGGCCCCACGCAGGACAGAGAAACCCTTGCAGTGAGCAGAACTTGGCATTCCTGAAAGGAGAGGCCCTCGGGGACTGGGTTCCTCGGTAATTCCCTCGCAACAACTAACCACTTGGCAGGATGATGGAACACTTGGAAGGAGCGAGACCGCCGGAGGAGCTGATGCGGTCTGGGGCAAGGTTACACGTAAAATCCTCTCGAGGGGAGCCCCAAGCGCGACAATAAATGTACCCCATGTGACTGTCACCAAAGACCGCCACCGTGTACGAGGCCCCTAGTAACTGGGTGAGCAAGACGGCTGGCACTCCGCACATCAGCCGTCTCCCCCTCCACAGCCAGTGGGCACCTTGCTGGTGACCTCGCTACACGCCTGCACTGCGTTTCTGGAGGAAGAAGTAGAAGCCAGGCCTCGAGCTTTGGCTCCTGTTGTTATGGTAACGGGCACCGCGGGCAGAGGCAGCCGTGGGCGGCAGCCTCCTCCTCATCCCTCTCCCTGTGGTGGGCATGCCTCCAAGGTCCTGAACTCCTGGCAGCATTTTTTGGAACATCCTCCCCCTCCGTGTCAGTATCCGTGTTTCTTCAAGTGTGGTCATCGGAATCACCTGCTTCTGTTGTGAACAGGCAGGAATCAGGAACCTGACTTTTATCACAACGCCCGGGTAACTCCTACCTTCACTAAACTTTGTGACGATACAGCCTTGAACACGGCAGAGTATTCGAGGTCTCTCTCAACTATACTCTCACCTCTTCGTTCGATTCTCCAGTCTTAGGACTTCCTCTTCCCTAGCACCTAGCCCCAGGAATAATCGCTTCTGAGGAGCAGAAGCCCTCCAGAAACAAAGGTAGAGCTTTTCGCCTCCAGAGACCCATCTGCCAGGTTAGCACAGCCCCGACCTGCCGGTGGGAAATAATCCCACCCAAGAACAGTGTGGGTTGAGCCCTAAGGCCCTCTCTTTGCCATCCCAGGAGTCAGCATCATGACAGAGGGTGAGATGGTTGGATGCACCCACTCAATGCACACGAGTCTGAGCAAACTCCGGGAGGTGGTGAAGGACGGGGAAGCCTGGCGCTCGGCAGTCCATGGGGTCGCAGGGTCAGACAGGACTCAGCCACTGAACAACAAGAGTTGATTTACAAGGTTGTGTTAGTTTCTGTGTACAGCAAAGTGATTCAGTTATATATTTATATACATTCTTTTAAAATTATTTTCCTTTATGGTGTATCACAGGATGTTGAATATGGTTCCTTGTGCTACACAGTAGGACCTTGTTGTTTAACCATCATATATATAAATATAAAAGTTTGCATCTGCTCATCCCAAACTCCCAATCAACCCTTCCCCCAGCCCCCTGCTTGGCAGCACTGCATGCCTTCTGCCCACTGAAAAACAACAAAAATGGCTACAGACGTTACCAAATGTTTTCCTGGAGAGGCAAAATCACCCCCTCCCCTAGCGAGAACTGCTCTAACCTTCCAAACGCAACTCACAAAGAACTCAAAGGATTCACAGCATGACATCAGGAACTTACACTTTCTCCCCACATGGGGAAAATGCAAAAGAACGTTGCTATGGATTTTATGAACAAGATCTGAAAAGTGCAAGGCAAAAGGAAAGGACTGATAATGTTGTCTGTGTTAAAAAGTAAAACATTCATATCATAGACGAAGTTTCCACAGCCTGGAGCAGGACACGACAACCCACACCAGTATTCTTGCCTGGAGAACCCCATGGACAGAGGAGCCTGGGGCTACGGTCCATGGGGTTGCAAAGAGTTGGACGCAACTGAAGCGACTTAGCAAGGGAGAACATATTTGCAACACAATCAACAAAGGATTAGTCTTCAGATTATATAAAGGACATCTTAGAATCAATAATAAAAAGATACACATCCAATAGAAGAAGGAGCAAATGACAGGCAAGCAGCCCAGAAAAGAGAAACTCTTAATGGCCAAAACCCACACTGAGAATACTCACTCCCATTGCTAGACAGGGGTATGCAAAGTGAAGTGGTGAGAATTCACCATACTCTTGTCCAGGATTTAATAGTAAATGATTAATAACAAGTCAATAGTACCAAGGGGAGGATCGGGAGTAATAGTATCTATCCCCTGTTACCACTAGTGGAGGGGTACATTTGGAAAATCACTTTAGGAAACTGTGTCATTATCAAGGTTGAATATTAAAGTGAAAGTGTTACTCGCTCAGTCCTGTCTGACTCTGCAACCCCATAGACTGTAGCCCGCCAGCCTCGTCTGTCCATGGAGATTCTCTAGGCAAGAACACTGGAGTGGGTTGCCGTTCCCTTCTCCAGGGGATCTTCCCAACCCAGCGACTGAACCCATGTCTCCTGCATTGCAGGCGGATTCTTTACCACATGAGCCACCAGGGAAGCCCCGGTTGAATATACATCCATCCTCTAACCCTGCAATGCCTCTCCTGACTATATACTCTGGACACAGAATGTATTTCCATGAGGAAGCACATAGAAGGAGTTGGTTACAACCACGTTTGCCACAACAGAAAGCTGAAAACAAACCAAATACCTACCTACCAACTGGCAAATGGAGAAACATATAAGGCACAGATGCATACGACGGAACAGGATTAGCACTGAAAATGAATGAGCTAGCTGGGTGAACTACGTTTAAAGGGTAAAATTATACTTTGGACCAAGCATCAGCACACAGGTGGATGAAACTGTTTATACTAAATACACGTCTTTCCCTCTGTCTGGGCACATTGATACTGGAAAAACTCAGCGTTTGTTTAGCAAGAGAGGAAGAGACACGAATGTTGGGTGGTTTCGCAAAAGTGGGTGCTTCTCAGCCTATATCGGCACAGGGTTGATTTAAATTCCACTTGGGGTTGAGGGATTAAAGCTCTAAAGGCTTCTGGACGCTTCAGATGCCCTGGGGCTTCTCAAATTTGAGCTTCACTGGAAGGGGTCTGGTTGGGTCATTTGAGGGGAGGATTCTTAGAAAATCAACATATGTGAAACCTAGCTGACAAAGCCTGCCGATCTGTACCAGGAGCCTCCTGGGAAACAGGAAACCACCTCACCTAAACAAGAAAGGGTTGATTCTATCAGCGTGTCAGCTGACATTTATTTACCACCAACTGTGTGGTGGTCACGGTGGTGAGGAGGGACGCACCGGGAACAGGACAGATGGAGAGAGGAAGCGCTGCCACGCGGGGCGCCCCACACCAGCGCCCCTGGACTCAGGGCATCCACGGGAGACAGACTTCTCTTAGAAAGAGGAAAACCTGCAAGAGAGGTTTCCATGAGCGCACGACGAGCGCCCGGCGTCGGCGGTGGAGGGAGAAAGCCCGGGTGGCGCGAGCTGGAGTGACTGGGTCGGGGGTACCGTCCGTGCTCCGAATTGACCCAGCGGCCCGAGCGCCGAGCCCGCCCCGCGCGCACCCTGTGCAGCTGAGCCACGGGCAAGGCGGCCTGCTGCGGGCGGGGGCGTGGGCACCGGGGCGCCCCGGAGGCCAGGCCCCGGGAGCAGCCCTCAGCCGCACGGACCACGGCGGGGGGCGGCGGCACCGGAGAGCCAGCTCGTTAGTCTCCAGACGCCCCTGGACTCCCCTGAAGCCAGCCGGGAGGCACTTAGAGCAGAATTCCTGTAAATTCATCGGCAGTGACCCTATATTGCTGATGTGACCTATTTTTTTTAAAAGATGAATGCTTTTGTGATTTTACTAAGCATTCTTATTTATTCCTTGCCTACATGGCTTTCTTCTTGGTTGCATACAGCTTAGAGATTATCAATTACACAGCACAGCAGATGTAAGGAGAAACTAAAACATAACCCATACAAGCATTTTCAGGAATAGCAATGTTTTGACTGTGGCATCTTCAGGAATAATTTGGGAGGTTTTTTTTTTTTTTTTACTTTTGGTATTATATTGGAGTATAGCTGATTAATCAACCCTGAATATTCATTGGAAGGACTGATGCTAAAGCTGAAGCTCCAATACTTTGGCCACCTGATGCGAAGAGTCGACTCATTAGAAAAGACCCTGATGCTGGGAAAGACCAGAGGCTAAAGGAGAAGGGGCGGGGGAGGATGAGATGGTTGGATGGCATCGCCGACTCAGTGGACGTGAATCTGAGCAAACTTCGGAAGAGAGTGGAGGGCAGAGGAGCCCGGTGTGCTGCAGTCCGTGGGGTCGCAAAGACACGACTTAGCAACGGAACAACAATAGTTGATTAACAATGTGTGTTAGCTTCAGATGCACAGCAAAGTGGCTTGGTTATACATATATCTATTCTTTTTCCAATTCTTTCCCCAGGTAAGTTGTTACAGAACATGGAGCAGAGTTCCTATGCTCTAGAGTAGGTCCTTGGTGCTCACCCATTTTTGATGTGGCAGTGTGTACATGATGTGAACTGTTTTTTTCTGCAGGCAGGTATGTGGGGATGAAACACGGATTCCAGGAACTGGAGGAGACACCTATCAATCAACACTTACTCTATCCTGATCCTTCTGCCTCTGTAAATGTGTTTGTTATTACACACACTTCAGACATACACAAAAATAAATAGTATAATGAGGTCACACGTACCTGTCACCAGCTTCAAAAACTGTCACTAAATGGCCAATCTTGTTTCATCTTTCCCACTTCCTCGAGATATTATTTCGAGATAAATACTACACTTTATATCATTTTGTCCATAAATGCTTCAGTACGCGTCTAACAGATAAGAACTCTAAAAATGCCAGTATACCATTATCAGATTAAAAAATTAATAAGTCCTCGATATCATATCATCAAATACCCAGACAGGGCTTGCGTTTCTGATGGTCTCGTAAACGTTACATGCTTTTCTACAATTTGTTTTGTTGTTGTTCAGTCGCCTTCCCAAGGACATAAAGGACAGAATCCAAATAATGTCCACACATTCCGTAAGTCGTAAAATTCTAGGGAATTCTGGGTTTGAACAATAGCCAGAACAGAACTGGACTTCTTTATCCCTACTTTATGTTGCTTGAAATTGCAATTGTAGGGGGAGTATTTTTTTCTTATAAAAAAAAATTCCAAGTCTCTGTTGGTAATTGGAAAGCTGTTTCCAAGGGCCCCAGGTGTCCGGCCTCATAAAGAACCACTTGGCGATCAGAGCAGTGTTGGCTGGCGAGTCGTCCGCACTGGGGTCCGCGGGGGGACGGCCGTGTTCCCTATCTTTACCGACCGCCCCCCGCAGGATCTCCTGCGAGGCCCAATTAAGTCAGGGGCGCGGGTGCCGAGCCGGCCACCAGGGGGCCCCCGAGGAACTCGATGAACTTCGCCGACGCCCGGGAAGCCCCCCGGGGGCCGGTTTCAGGCCAGACCCAGCAGACCCGGGCGGGTCAGGCTCCTCACGCGGGTCAGATCCCGCAAGCAGAGCAGACCCCCGGAGCCGGGGCCGGGAGGGCCGGCTGGGGGCGGACAAGGCCTGCCGTCGGCTGTCACAGGACGCCGGGTTTGCAGCCCGCCCCACGCCGCAGTGCTCTTGGCAGACTCGCTTGAAGGACAGGTAAGGGCATGCCGTGCCAAGAAGCGCCCGGTCACGCCGTGGGTGTTAATGAACCCTTCGATTGTTACGTACACAGGAGGCGCTATTACAAGTAATGTGAGAACATGAAGTCGGGATGAAAGTGAAAAAAGTGTCAGCCCCCCGGTCTGTCGGACCCTCTGCGCCCCATGGCCTGCAGCCCGCCAGGCTCCTCTGTCCAAGGGACGTGTGGCAGCTCGGGGCTCTCAGCTACAGGAGCCCTAGCAGACAGACATCGTCCCCCAACACAGCCTCTAACAGAGAGGCTTCTATCCCCACCGTATGTGGCTTCTATCCCCACCGCCTCGGTTCAGAACAGACAGGCATCATCCCGTTGTCCTGGAGGCCGGAAGTCCGGAACCAAGGTGTGGGCGGGGCCCCGCTCCCTCTGCGGCGCCAGGGAGACGCCTTCCCGCCTCGCCCAGTCTCTGCGTTGCGCGCGGCCCTAGGTGTCCCAGGGCTTGCCAACGGCCATCGCCCCCCTGTGTCTCCACTTCGTCTGTCTCTGTGCCCAGACCTCCCCTTTGCATAAGGACTCCAGTCACACTGGATGAGGGCCAGCCACTCCCGGACCCCCGTGATCTCAGTTTTTAAAATGATGTATTTAAGGTGCATGTGTGCATGCTAAGTCGCTTCAGTCGTGCCCAGTTCTTTGCAAACCTATGGAGTGTAGCCCACCAGGCTCCACTGTAAAAGGGATTCTCCAGGCATGAATACTAGAGTGGGTCTCGCCATGCCCTTCTCCAGGGCATCTTCCCAACCCAGCGATCAAACCCGTGTCTCCTGCATTGGCAGGTGGATTCTTTAACATTGGAGCCAGCTGGGAAGTGCCACCTGGGAAGCCTCATACTTAAGGTAGTTAATTTTATTTTATTATTATTACTATTATTTTTTAATTTTTGGCCATACCCTGCAGCATGTGGGACCATTGTTCCCAACCAGGGATGGGACCCACACCCCCTGCATTGGAAGGTGGAGTCTTACCCACTGGACCACTGGGGAAGTCCCTCTCATGATCTCACTTAAACTCAGTTACCAGATCTGCAAATAAGGTCACTTGCTAAGGCACTGGGGGTTTAGGACTTCCTTTATCTTTTCCGGGGGCCACAATTCAACTCATAGCATATGCCCTCTTATAAAATGAATCATGCTTGAAATGCCTATAATGACAAACCCATGAACTGTGTACACGGAGGATCATACCATGCAGGATAAACGTGTGAGTCTATGAAGGCATCATGGTAACACAAAAACAATTGCAATGTGCAAAGGATGTACTATGATTTTATCAAGAAAAGCGAATATTTTAACCTCAAGGTATATTAAATTCACTACCTTTGATGCTTTTTAATGACCAGTGATAAAGAAAATACATGTAGACCCAAAAGACCCCAAAAAATCTAGATTTTTTTTTTTTTTTGCAAAAAGTTGCATTGGGGCCAGTTATCATGCTGCAAATACTAAACAGACGATCACAGAATGCTTTTCTATAATAAACACAGAGAACTTCTCTACCTTAGATATTCACAAAATCTGATCCACACCCTGTTTAAGAAACACAAGCGTTTGTGACATAAACGAAGCCACCCTTGGCGTTGCTCGTCGCCTCCCACAAAGGGTCATCCACTCTCCAGGGTTCTTCTGAAAGCTCTTGGCCCCGCGGGCACTGATTTCAGCAGGCACCACTTCAGTTCCTGACATGGCTTCTCAATGCACAGCGTCAGGACCAGCCCAGCAATGAAGGTCAGCAAGCAGTGTCCCAAGAAGAGATAGAACTAGAGAGAGAGGGGGACAGGGTGGACACAGTCTTACTACGAGATTCCGGTTGTGTTTGGGCCCTCAAGGGCCCCATCCTGGCTGTATGAAATAGATCTGTAAGACAAACAGCCACAAACATTAAAAATAAAGAGAAGGAAAGAACGATACTACCCTGTACTGAAGTCCCCCCTCCAATAAAACAAAGGACAATAGGCTTTTGAGAAATAAACAGAGAAGAAGCTTCTCGTGAAGCCAATAGCTTGTACTGTTCCAGGAGAGAACAAAGGGTGATGCCGCGTCCAGCCGGGGGCGGGGGGCCACCTCACCATGTTGACGTCTGTGTAGTGAATCAGCGTCTCCTGAAGCCCGTTGTAGAGGATGATGAGGGTGGGGTGCACCAGGTAACAAGCGTAGCTGACGCTGGCCAGGGAAGTCCAGACTCCGCAGGAGAGCAGCCGAGTCACCAGGCCTGGGGGGACAGGCACCGATTCCCGGAGCGGTGAGCCCCTTCTGCGCCTGGGGATACGGGGGCTCACCGCAATCCCTCTGGGTCCTGCCCCTGAGTCTGTGAACCTTCTTCTAAGAAGGTCTTTATTCATTATATATTTTCTGGGTTTGTTTTGGCCATGCCGTGCAGCCTATGGGATCCCCGTTGCTTGACAGGGTATCAAACTCTCACCGCCTGCATTGGAAGGGCTGAGTCTTAACCCTCAGACCACCAAGGAAGTCCATGTTCTTTTTAATTGTGCGCTAAGTTGCTTCGGTCGTGTCCGACTCTTTGCGACCCCATGGACTAGCCCACCAGGCTCCTCTGTCCATGGAGATTCTCCAGGCAAGAACACTGGAGTGGGTTGCCATTTGCTTCTCCAGGGGATCGTCCCAATCCAGGGATCAAATGCACATCTCCTGCAGTGGCAAGTGGGTTCTTTACCACTATCGCCACCTGGAGAATGAACTAAAACAGATAAGCCAAAGCCAAAAACAAAACAAACTTCAACTCCCCATTGTAGACATATAATAATAATGAGATGCTCATATTGAGTTTACAACCAGTTTATTTCCTTAGTGTGGTTTCCACCTCTGAGCACAAAACATTCCACATATAGAACAAGGTGCACAGTCCCTTGGCCGGCCTGGGTTCTGATTCCAAGCGCAGCGCGCAAGCTGCGGGACCTCAGGACGAGGGCGGGAACACCCTGTGGCCCCAGGGCCTTCACCTTCTGTAACTGGTGAGTCTTCTGCAACGGGGCTGTCCCCCATGATAGCTGTGAGCCACTTGTGGCTATTGAATTTAAAGGAATTAAAATAAGAACAATGAGCCATTCCCTTGCTGAATAAAACCAACGGCTCTCCGCAGTGGGGTAAAAGAT